CCGAGCTGTGAGCTGCTCGGGAACGACTCGTGACCATGTCCCACCACCCGAACGGGCGCGGTGATTCGTTCGCAAACGCGCGACACCGAACGACACCCGCGTCCGCTGCGAGTTTCGATCGAAGTGCTCCGCCGAATTACTCCATCTACACCTGAGCCGTATGCCAGGCTAGTTGATCAGACCAAATCTTCATTCAAGAGAAGTCAGACTGATAAATGGTTGCAATGATTAGCAGAACTTTTCAAGAAGTACAGTTGAATAATCCGATTGATCGAAGTTATTGTCTTAGGTTCCGCCTCCAGAACTGTTTTAAGGCCGTCGCGCAGCAGCTTCATAATCACTGCCTGAGCAGCGTAACTCTGTCCACTGCCTCGAAATGCTGCGTGCAGCAACGAAGCGTACTGGAAACCCGAAATTTTAAGGAGGCAAATGGCCCAGAGTAATGTAGAGTCAAGGTGGAGGACATGTTCGGGTCCCGGCCACGACAAAAGTTTTGCCAAACTTGTAACGGTCGCTGATTTTTGTATAAATGCTCATCCGGGACAGGTCGGCGCCCCAATGACGATTCGCCTGGCATGCAAAACCGTCGAGGCCGAATGAAAGATCATTATGGGAACACCGATTTTGCCACCACAGCTTCCGGACAGTTCTGCTAATAGCAGTACCGCATGCGGACAACAGACCTCCCTTTAGTCCACAACAGGGCCTCAGCGAGAGAAAGGTGAACGAGCTTTGTTGTCCACTCGGCACCCTTGTTCAAGGAGGTCACCATTGCACCCACACGGTGACGCATTTCGACCCAACACATGGGTTGAACGGCCCGGATGCGGCGACCCCACCATGTGGGCCGAGCTCAGGCACGGCACTCGCCATGCGGTGGTGCCCGGGCACGGTGATTCGATCATTATCCATGAACTCGAACACAACCTGCACCCTGAGCGGCTTGACAACTCTGTCTCTTGAGCTGAACCCACTCACAATTGAACCGTATTCCAGGCAGGAGAACCAAGCAAATGTTCAAATAAGATAAGATATGCTGATAAGTGATTAGGATGATACGCAAAAACCATGCACGAGGCAGATCTGATCACACCTTCGCGAAATGATAACCGCGAATACCGTCACTGCGCCAATCAATCCATTCCGGCGCCTCCACTCGGGCGATGGTGTTAAACGTGCTACACACAAAAACTCCTGCACTCCTTTATATAGCAAAGGGCATCTTTGGCGAACATGGGATTTTGGATGTGAGCGACCCCTGTCATTTTTGTGGGGAAGGTATCGAAGAAGGGCGTTCTGGCCTAAAACTCATCGCGTAGACACGAAAATCCACCTGCCTTCTGAATCGGTACTCTACTCAATCATTCACTCTCGCTAACGGGGCGCAAAATGGTCCCTTATGTTTTAGCTATAGTAATTTGGGTACATCCCTCAAGGGTACAGCATTGGTATGGGTGATGTGGCCATGTCAGTACCACCCGTCAAAATTTCGTCTCCCGTACGATTCCCCTTTCTTATCCTATCTGCCATCTCGCCAAATACTTCCAACCGCGTACAAGTTTTCAAGAATTTTCACCAGCTTTTTCCGAAAACCGTTAGTGTCACTGAGCAGATGGGGGAGGGCGAAGTGGAAAGAGAAATTTGGGTGGTATCAACAACCGGAGTTTTTTTTTCGCGGCTCGGGAAAATTTTTTTTCATTACAGACATCACCCTCCTCTCCATCCACCAAATAGGACACCTGATGGGATTTTTCTAGATAATGCTGTACCCTGTATCCCTTGGGAACTTAATCATCTGTTACACAGCCAAGTGTTTAGCTGCACATTCCGCTGAATAGGGGCGTGTGGTCGCGAAGCGGCTTGCCTCGGCTACACTCCAATCCACGCCCCGTCACCCCCTTATGGTTTGCAGGGAGCATGACGGTACTCAAAGACAAAAAAAACAGGCACACATTAACTATCCCTATCACTGCATATTGATTCTTTTCCCGAACAGCTCTGAAGGGAGCAGGTAAAAAGGAGAGCTAATGTGACCATACAGACTACTGCTTCTTTTCAAGATCGCTACAGAGATTACTGTATGACTTCAATTATTTATTTTCTTCCAATAGAGCTAAGGCAAAACCGAAAAATCAAAGAGATACGGCTTTCAATCTAAAGTCCTGCAAAGCAAGCTGTACACCGGACTTTATACTCGTCGTATTGAGCATTGAGACGAAGAGATCAATCGAGTAAACGGACTGTAATCAAAAAAAATGGAGGCAAAACATTTGGAGCAGTCATATTAAAACTAAGCAGGTAACCCGTAGGTCAGAGAAAATGTCAACAAGGCAATGGAGAGTCACCTACAAAACTAGAAAATTACTATCTTTTTTCCATTTATAGGTATTCAACAAGAGACTACACATATATGATGCCGACGGCTATAACGATATGGATAAAAGAAACAGAGCAGGAATAATGAGAGAAATCCTCAGGAAAGGGCCGCCTTTGAGTCTGGGTTAGGGGTCGCACTCAATTGCTGAGAGGGTTTATTACAACTTGGTGCAAAACGCCAGTTGAGAGACGCTTCGAAAGGCTCAAAGGAACACCCAAAGTTCTGCCCTTGTCATACAGCGCTTTAGGTTGCGAATTCCATATGGAACTCAGATTTGAGGCATGAAACCGAAAAGATCGTTTTTTTTTGCAAAAACTCAAAATCTCTATGTTATTTTGGTAGCTGACTCACAAAGTCGTCGAGCCCCAGGATCGCTTGGCTCTTTGAATGGCACTGGTTCCGCGTCCAAAGTACGGTCTCGATGTCCGACAGACATTAATCGGAACCCGATCAGCTTGTCGCTGCCCTAGAAATCTTTATCATCAGTTCTCAGAACCTCGTTTTGGTTTGGATGTTCCAGAGCTTTTTCAACAGACGAGCAGCCCAGCAAAAACTCCTCTGCCCTTAAGGTTACATTAGTGGCTGACCTTTCGGGATTTGCACCGAAATGCACCCACATCAGTTATTTTTTTACCACTTAAATGAGCTCATTTACAAATTGCTGGATTATGTGTGGTAAAATGAAGTCTAAAAATGTTGTGCTACTTGGAAAAAGGGACCAAAATTAAACAATGTAGGAATTTCCTAAATTACCTTCTCATGAATTCGATAACAGTATGGGTAGTGCAGAGCTTTGGCTACGAGATATTCAAAGAGACTTCTTGACCCTTCAGGTGTCAGCTTCAAAGCCTGAATATGCAAAAAACTACAGAACATAGTATATAAGTGTCAAAGTGTTGCAAGTATTTTAGCTCTTCTGGATGCTCATGGGCACGCTTGGTGGAGGCAGGTGGTTGTTGCTGGATTCATTGGTGGAAGGCTCTGACAGGGTGTTTGGTCACAACTCACTTAGCTCGTCCACCAATGACGCTTGTGACAACCGCTCGCCTCCAGCAATCGTGCCCACCTCCTTTGAGTATATTTTTACGGGGTCGATTATTGATTATATCTGTATATACCTGTGAATACAGTAGCTTTCTAGGATTCCTGAGGGGAGCAAATCAGGTTTCAAGTGCTCGAGAGCACGAGCAAAACGAGAGCTGAGCTACCCTTTGCTTTCACTCCCTCCCCACCTCAATTTTTTCACTCGGGAGCAGTTTGGCTAAAGAGGGACATATTGCCCTTAAGCTAATTTTTTTCCTGGTTCGTGATAACTCTAGGGAAGCAGCTGCAAGTGGACCTCTTTGGTTACAGGAATTCACAGGCCTTCACAAGGTTGCCTGTAAAGACCTACCTTAGTACTTTTCGATGCCTCCCCCAAGCCGAATAGCGATATCCCAAATTATTCGATCAACTCGATAATTATATTTTCAATGACTTTTCTTGCAGTCATCACGATACCCATAGCTCTTACCCTACTATGAGGCTCGACACGAATAAATTCGTTGACGCATAGATCGATAATATCCTTGTAATCGCCACTATTAGCCGGAATAAAGTCGAAAGCAACTGAGGGATCCACTCTTTGACTGCCTGAACAATTCGCGTGAGTTTCATACATGCTTCTCGGCATTGTAGCGTACAGTCTCCCTCGCTGAGGATGATGGGGCGTGTCAAGGGGAGATCGCTTTAGTGCAGCGCTACCCCATTTTTTTCCTTTTTTTCGGCAAGCGACAAGATGTGTCACATCGCATAAGTCGTTTTCCACCAGTTCTTATCGCTTACCCACTTCAACAACTGCTGGAGAACAAGCTGGCAGTGCACCACATCCCCTCTCACATGTCCCATCATCCGCAGCGAAAAAAGAAAACTGTAA